AATAATATATAATGAAATTAACACAATGTTTTCTTTGAGATTTCTCGGACATTCAAGCCGGTAAATGTTGTTTAATACTGTTTATTATAAAAAGAGCATTTACTTAAATATTTGTATCTATAAAAAGAATGTATAAACATAAAAATGATTTTAAAATAATTTATGACTTTGTCCATTTCATAATAATGTGACGACCTTTTGTTTAAAATTTGATACGCTTTGAGCAGATATGAATGTATATGAGAGATTCATGGATGATTGTATATTTATAAAATTAAAATCGACCTTGATAACCGAACGCTATAGATAGCGCAGTAAGTAGATAGCAGTCAGGCTATACGACAAGTTCGATTCCTTCAGAAAACGCATCTTTTCTTGAAATTTCTCGTACATTCAGGCCGGTAAATGTTGCACGGATTTTGTTTATTATAAACAGAGCATTTAAAATTATTTATTTGTATGGGAAACCTATTAAGGATCTGAACTCACTACTCGATAGCAAAATTTATTTAGACAGTTTGGTCTGTTACCTCATGCAAAAATTATTTATAGTATGAAAAAATATTTTAGAGATAAATACTATAGTAGTATATGGTGATGATGATGCATGATTATGCATATATACACAATGAGGTGTCGACTTCACTGCTGAATAGAAATTATCAATCAGATTAGATTCTGTAGCCATTTTCCAACGCCGACACTGTAGCGGTAATTATTGAAAAAAAAATCTACCTCCGGAGATTAAATAAGGGGTTAAGTCCGAAATTCTATGTAGCTTTCCCCGATCGGCAGATATATGATGAAGGCCGTTGCCGAAAACGGCCGAAACATTATGACAACAACCAGGATGAGAACAACATTCCGCATGTAAATAATCTTAATAAAGGAATATTTCTTTTAACGGAATCGTCTAATATCCACCTGGTTTAATTGCCAGTTCCTCACCTGGCCAAATCTTATCTCCTGTCATGTTAAATTCCTCCCCAGACACACTTTCTAGAAGTTAACTTATGCACATTCTGGCGAATGTACTTGCTTACTTATCAGTTATAAGTGCTCAAGCCAACATAAAAGATTTATAAATACTGATTTTCTTGGCAAAGAACGGACTCAACATAAAATATTACAGCGGCTATCATTGAATCAATTCTGAAACCAAATTACTTTTATAATAAATAATATGTCTTGTCTGTTTGATAATATCAAATTGTAGCCGGTCTCAAAAGTAGTTGTTAACTGGGGCAAGGAATGGCTAGTTAATTTTAACGCCTACTGTTGTGGAGTTATTTCGCAGTGGTGCCTTGTATTTGTACTAAATCGGCCCTAAAATAGGTTCGACGTACAAAACGTTTGGAACTTGATATAATAGGTATAACGCAGAATAATCTTGTTGTGGTCGCTGACTACTTTCGTATTCGACTAACTGTCGTCCGACATCGACCTACCCTCGTTTATCTTACTACTCCTACTTATATTAGGTGGGGAGAGTCTATTAACTATAGAATAGGTGTGTTTCACCATAACACCTACAAAACAAAACTGCTTTCTATTGATCGCCCGAGAAATCCCTTCCTTCTTTTCATTAGTATGGCTGATGCTAACCTCCAGGAGAGTGAGTCATTGCGACTTCTCAAGCTAATGGTCTTTCCTGACATGAAAGATCATGAAAATGTCAGGACTGAAGCTAGGAAAATTAGTTCACTATGTCGTGTTAGACAATTTCTTCCGCCAGAATCTATCTTACATATTTACATATCTACCATTCATTCGTCTATTCATTGACTATTTCTGTCATATCTCGTCCAGTTTCCCTGCTATATATTTAAAGATTCCTGATAAAATCCAAAGAAGAATCTACAATGTTATTGGTCCTGACCTGGCATCTCGACTTCACTCATTTTAGACTTTGCTGTTAATCTAGTATTGCGTTTAAATTCATAAGATACCATAGAGGAACGACCATCAGGGTAATTACCATAAAAGTATACGTCACGGTGGTGCGAAAGTGACTGAGGCCCAGATGTCAGGTGAGGGCCAATAATATTGCTGATTCTTTGTTTTTTTTTTTGAAAATTTAAAACAGATCGATATCAGAAGATGCAAGATATTAAAATCAAATATGCAGTTTGGAAATTTTATTTTTTGATTCGTCTATTCCTAAATCTACACTGTTATTGGTCCTAACGTGGCATCACGACTGCACTCACTTCAGACCTTGCCGCTAATATAATACCGTATTTAAATTCATAAGATACCATCGAGGACCGGCCATCAGAATAATTACCATAAAAGCATTTATAGAAAAGGCACAGGGATTCTACGTTACGGCGATGGGTAAGTGACTGAACGCCTAGATTCCGGACCAATAATATTGCTGATTCTTTGGATTTTTCTCAAAGAGTTCAAGATAGATAATTTCAACAAACTGGCCATATTGGTGTATGAGTAATAAGCAAAACTTTTGAGTTGTTTCGATTCATCTATTCTTTGAATATCGCTGTCACATTCAGTGCACTTGCTATATATTTAAAGATTCTTGATAAAATCCAAAGAAGAATCTAGAATGTTATTAGTCCTGATCTGGCATCTCGGCTTCAGACACTAAGAGCTTGCAGCGAATCTAGTAGTGTGCTTAAATTCATAAATTCTAGGCACCATATATGAAAGGCCATCAGAAAAATTACAGTAAAAGTATTTATAAAAAAAAGCCATACAGGTCTATTTGTTATCCAAATTTGAGAAAATGAATGAGGCCTGAATGCCATTTTAGACTAATAAATATCGTATTCCTTTGAAAGTTTCATCAAGGAGCTCTCGACAAATATCAGGAAAACCAGGCCATATGTGGCAGTAATAAAAGATTTTGTTTGGTTCCTTGGGTTGTGAAAAACAATTTTTCTCTCCGGAATAATCTTATATTAATCTATCTGCGTGGGGAAAATAAAAATGGATTAAAAAACAAACGCCCCTCGCGTCTGTCTGGCCTGTGGGTTGGAGAAAAGAAAGAAAAATCCAAGATGGCGTCCGTGAATTTTAATATTCACGGTCTCGTGCAGAACTAAAGTCGCGTTACACGCATGCTAATGAGGTGTGTCTGGGCTCCATAAAAGCAGGTCGACAATGGAGAAATTGACAGAAGGGTATTAAAAGTTTTCGGTGTACATTGCTTTAAAGTTGCATCGTGTCAGACATTTTCCGACGGGAAAGAGTTGCGTCCCTTAACTGTTGAATTTGACTCCGTTGTTACTGTCTAAAATTCGTCTATTCTTTGAATGACGTTGACAATGTTGATCCAGTGCACCTTCTATATATTTATGATTATTGATAAAATCCAAAGAAGAATCTGCAATGTTATAAACCTAACCCGGCATCTCGGCATCAATGAAATTAAAATGAAAAACCCTTGCAGCGAATCTAGTACTGTGCTTAAAATTCCTAAAATCTAGGTACCATAGAGGAGAGGCTATCAGAACGATTACCATAAAAGTCTTTATAGAAAAGGCACAAAGAAGCAACGTTACGGCGGTGGGAAAGTGACTGAGGCCTAGATGCCAGGGCAGGACTAATAATATTGCTGATTCTTTGGATTTTATAAAGGAGCTCTAGATAGGTATCAGGAGCACCGGGTCATATGTGGCAGTAATATGCAGCTAGGAAAGTTGGTTCAATTTGTCGTGCTAAACAATCTTTCTCTCCGGAATATATCTTATATATTTATAAGTCAAAAATGAAGGATGCACCGAATGGATGGACACTAATGATCTGATGATCTTTTTTATATCCGGCGATTCTGAGGAAACCCTTGAGAAACACATTAGTATAGCCCTGATCTGACATCTCTGCTTCAGCCATTTTCTCACTGCCGTAATGTGGCTTCCCCTGTGTTTTTTTATATATTAGCCACAATACATTTTATAACAAAATCACCAACAATACATTTTATAGTAAAATGACCAACAATACATTTTATAGTAAAATGACCAGCTATACATTTATATATTAGCCACAATACATTTTATAACAAAATCACCAACAATACATTTTATAGTAAAATGACCAGCTATACATTTATATATTAGCCACAATACATTTTATAACAAAATGACCAACAATACATGTTATAGTAAAATGACCAGCTATACATTTATATATTAGCCAACAATACATTTTATAACAAATGACTAACAATACATGTTATAGTAAAATGACCAACAATATGGATATATATTTGATAAAAAATACATTTTATAACAAAAATGACCAACAATACATGTTAGAGTAAAAATGAAATTTATACATTTATATATTAGCCACAATACATTTTATAACAAAATGACCAACAATACATTTTATAGTAAAATGACCAGCTATACATTTATATATTTTATTTTACTATAAAATGCATTGTTGGTCATTTTGTTATAAAATGTATTGTGGCTAATATATAAATGTATAGCTGGTCATTTTACTATAAAATGTATTGTTGGACATTTTGTTCTGACAAAAATTGATCTAAAGAAATTTAAATGCAATGCTAGATTGGCAACAATGCCCCGTCATTTTAGAGTTGAAATGGGTTGACATAACCGTAAGTTAAAAAAAACGGTATCGTTTATTTTAGATCGACCACATAAACCTGAAGGAAATATTATGGATATGTGTTCTATGTAACACTAGCACCATTCTTTATTTCGTCGTTGTCTTTGATTCTTTGAGGCTATCCAGTACTCGATCGTATAAAACATCTGGTCAATGTGGTCATATTCATAAATCTACACACACCCCTCTCCTCGCGACAACATTGATTGCTTGTGTAATCTTACCGCCACTTTACAAAGAGTTCGGACTTCAGATCTTCACGTTTCCGGTGTAGCGAGCAGACATGGTCGTGGGAAGAGTTGAGGAGTATTTGCTTGTAAATTGTAGGTTAATACCCACAGGTCAATTTTTACTCATTAGGTCTGGGATCGATCTGACATATCTTTTGATCGTTCTTTTTAGAGAGAGAGAGAGAGAGAGAGAGAGAGAGAGAAGAATTTGCGAAAAAAAAAAGAACACATTTTGGTCACTGGAAAGAGAAGGAAACCAAAAGTATCGATAAATGTTCTTTGGAGTCGAAGTTTATGTTGTTTATTGAAAGAAAACGAGGAATGAAATAAATTAGAGAGAAAAAAAGAAAGAAAAGGAGCAATGAAATTAAAGAAAAATATAATATTGAATGAAAGAAGAAAGACAGAAAAAGAAAAAGAAAGCAAAAGACACTGATGAAAATGTCTCAAATAAAAGAAAGAAAGAAACCAAAAGACGAGAAAGAAAGAAAGAGAGAAAGAAAGAAAGAAAGAAAGGGAAAAAAAGAAAGGAAAAAGAACAAATGAAATACAGAAAGAAAGAAAAAAATAAAGAAAAAAAAAACAAACAAACAAAATACAAAAAAAAGTGTGAAGAAAAGAAAAGAAAAGAAACAGGGACATTTGGAAAGAAAGAAAGAAAGAAAGAAAGAAAGAAACAAACAAACAAACAAACAAACAAACAAAAAAAGAAAGAAAAAATAAAGAAAGGCGATTAAGATGAAATGAGTGAATAGGCATATGGAAAGAAAGAAAGAAAGAAAGAAAGAAAGAAAGAAAGAAAGAAAGAAAGAAAGAAGCTACCAAACTCAAAAAATAAATGAAAGATTTTGGGCTGGATTGAAAGCTGAATGATAAAATATAAAGAAAAAAGAATTTGTCGCAATACAAAGAAAGAAAAAAGAAAGAAAGAAAAGAAAAAGAAAAGAAAGAAATTAATAAGAGAAATGAAATAAAAAAAAATATCTAGAAGAAAGAAAGAAAGAAAGAAAGAAAGAACGAGACAAACAAAATCAAAAAAAACATTTTTTTAAAAAAAAAAAACGTGAAAAAAAAAATTGGACTTCTGGAAATTTTAATTAAAAAAGAAAGAAAGAAAGAAAGAAAGAAAGAAAGAAAGAAAGAAAGAAAGAAACCATAGGACGAGAAAGAAAGGAAGGAAGAAAGGACAAAAGAAAGAAAGAAAGAAAGAAAGAAAGAAAGAAAGAAAGAAACAAAATACAAAAAGCAAATTGAAAGAGAAAGATAAAAAAAAGTGAGGACTTTCGGATAGAAAGAAAGAAAGAAAGAAACGAAAAAAAGAAAGAAAGAAAGAAACCAAAAGACGAGAAAGAAAGAAAGAAAGGAAGGAAGAAAGGGAAAAAGAGAAAGAAAAAAGAACAAATGAAATACAGAAAGAAAGAAAAAAATAAAAAAAAAACAAACAAAATACAAAAAGCAAATTGAAAGAGAAAGAGAAAGAAAGGGAGGACATTTGGATAGAAGGAAAGAAAAAGAAAGAAAGGAAGGAAGGCGATTAAGATGAAATGAGGAAATATTAATAAAAAAAAAAAACAAAAAAAAAAGAAAGAAAGAAAAAGAAAAAAAAAAAAAAAAAAAAAATAAAGAAAATGCGATTAAGATGAAATGAGTGAATAGGCATATAGAAAGAAAGAAACAAACAAAGAAACAAAGAAAGAAAAAAGAAAGAAAAAGAAAGAAAAGCTGAAAAAAAAAATAAATGAAAGAAAGATCAAAAAATTGAAAGAAACCTTCTTTGATAACATATAAAGAAAAAAAATTTATCGCAATACAAAGAAAGAAAAAAAAAAAGAAAGAAAAAGAAAAGAAATGAAAAGAAATTAATAAGAGAAATGAAATAAAAAAGTTCTTTCTCTAGAAGAAAGAAAAGAAAGAAAGAAAGAAAGAACGAGACAAACAAAATCAAAAAAGTAGTTTGAAAGCAAAAAAAAACGTGAAAGAAAAGGTGGACTTCTGGAAAGAATAAAAGAAAGAAAGAAAGAAAGAAAGAAAGAAAGAAAGAAACCATAGGACGAGAAAGAAAGGAAGGAAGAAAGGACAAAAGAAAGAAAGAAAGAAACAAACAAACAAAATACAAAAAGCAAATTGAAAGAGAAAGATAAAAAAAAAAAGTGAGGACTTTCGGATAGAAAGAAAGAAAGAAAGAAAGAAAGAAAGAAAGAAAGAAAGAAAGAAAGCAACCAAAATCGAAACGTAAATGAAAGATTTTGGACCGGGTTGAAAGCTGAAAGTAAGCATATAAAGGGAAAAAGAATTTGTGGCAATAGAAAGAAAGAAAGAAAGAAAGAAAGAAAGACGAAAAGAAAAGAAAAAAGAAAAGAAAAGAAAGAAAAAAAGAAATGAATAAGAGAAATGAAATCAAAAGAAAAAATATCTAGCAGAAAGAAAGAAAGAAAGACATAAAGAAAGAAAAAAAGAAAAGAAAAGAAAGAAAGAAATGAATAAGAGAAATGAAATGAAAAGAAAAAAGTCTCTAGAATTTACATCTTGATAGAAAGAACGAAAAAGAGCAAACGTAGATTCTTAAACCTACTAAAGGGAAATAAATAATTAGAATAGACGATTCCAATAAATATCATCATCATAGGCCTGTTTCTTCATTGGAGAGGTTTAGATACAGAAATGGTTTAATGAGATTAATTTGTTGAACAATCAACAAACACCGCTGATAAAAATGTCTACAGAATTTGCCATTTTCTCCACATCAAGAGACAGCTAGGAAAACAAGCTTATGAAAAACAAAGGCCATTAGAAAAATTGTACGAGAATAGCCAGTCACACATAAATTGTTGTTGAAGATATTATGTACACTCTTGTGCAAATTAATTGAAATAAAACGAATAATTCTGTTATTATTTACTTTTTTCGTATTTTTCCAATGAAACATGACCCAGTGCACATGTAAGTGCTTCGTATGTCCATTCTACGAAGTCGTTCCTTGCAGATTGACAACAGATTCTCGATTTGATTTAAATCAGGACAGTTTCCTGTACAGTCTATCTATCTCAGCCAGTTCATATCTATCTATCTATCAATCTATCTATCTATCTTGGTCTGTTCATTATCTATCTATCTATTTATCTACAACCTTGTGCAAATTAATTGAAACAAATCAAATAATTCCGTTATTATTTACGTTTTTTCGTATTTTTCCAATGCACATGTTAGTACTTCGTATGTCCATTCCCTGAAGTCGTTCCTTGCAGATTGACAACAGATTCTCTATTGGATTTCAATCAGGAGAGATTCCGGGCCAATCAATAATAAAGGCTTTGCTCGCTGGGAAAGTCCTTCGTGTTTGTGCAGAGTTACAATTTTTTTATGCTTTCTTGGATAATGTCCATCGCAGACAATGGTGTTGGACAACTAATCGATAGTAGAGACAATAGTGCCTGATCGTGATAAAATTCGATGTAATCACGGATGAGGCAATATATATATATATATATATATATATATATATAATATATTATATATATTTTTGAGCATTGTTGAGAAAGGTTTTCTATAATTAAGACCTGCGCTAATGCAAAGCTCTTCAGTAAAATGAATTGGAAAGTCTGACTTTTGAGACGTTTGTTTGCATTCCCAAAAAACAATAGGCTAAAATTTAGTGTTCCTGTGCGGAATGATGATGTTCTGTTTGTAGAAAATCTGATAACCAAATCGGTCGGGTTTCCATCCCTGACTTGAAGAATTCATTGTCTAGTTATTAAAACTTAATGTGATACAGCAAATCATTGTAAATAATGGAAAAGAATGTATATATATATATATATATATATATATATATATATATAATTGTAATTCTTTCCCTTATATATATATATAAAGCATTTTAATATGTTCTTGATTTATTTATCTATGTTTTAATTTTTTCGGGGATATAACAGAAGAGAAATTATAAAACCTTCAACTAAGATTGAAATTTTTTATTTAATATAAATAAATTGATCTGTATTTTCAATTCAACAAACTAAAATTTTCAATTTTCCCGCAAAATTAATAATTTGCTAATGAATTTATTCAAATATGTTCCATAAAATGAAACATTTTGAATTTTATAAAAATTTCTTTTAATAAATTTTATTGAATGCTGTGACCCAATATGACCATTGATGAATGGAAAAGAGGATTGTGAAACAAGAGAAATTAACAAATTAAGATAATGGACCCAAACTTATATACCCCAAACAATGGACAATTTCATGTCATCTGAAGATTTTGTAAACGGAAAATCCAGAAACAAAATTTTAGAGTTTTGAATTTAATAAGAAATTATACAATACTTCGTGCATATTGGCAGTGAATGATGGACAATTTCTTATAGATGAATAAAGACTTCCTTTTTCCTTCTTTTGAATAAAGAGTGTTGAACATTATAATTGTTCAATCCTCCTATATGGCAATGAAAAATTTGGAATTTATTTAAGATATAAGAGAAGACTTGAATAAGAGAAACAAAGAAAAAAGTGCTGAACTGTCACGTTAATATCAATCTCCTATATGGCAGTGAATGTGGACAACTTTCACAGAATGAAGAGGAGGTTGAAGATTTGAGAAACAAAAGAAAAGACTGGACTTTGAATCCTATTTTATATGGCAGTGAATGCTGGACAATTTTACTCACAGATGAAGAGGAAACTTCAATATATAAGAGAAACAAAATAAAAGAGTGCTGAAAGCTATGTAATATCAAAAGAAATATTTTAAACGAATGCTGAAAAATATCCTCACAGATGAATAGGAACTTGATTTAAGAGAAACAAAGAAAAAATGCTGAACTTTTTGTAATATTCAATTAGAAAATATAGTGAATATCAACAATTTATCAGAAAAGATATATTTTTCAAGAAATTTGTTTGAAAAGGAATTAATAAAATATCAATTTGACTATAAAGGGCAGTGATCTGTAAATGAAAGAGAAAGACAAGATGGAGAGGACAAAACAAGAGAAATCAAATAAAAGAATCGCTTTAATTGCTTGTAAAATCAAAGAAATTCCTATATGGACAATGAATTCTACAATTGGCTCACAGATGAAAAAGGAGACTTGAAGCAAGAGAAACAAAGTTTTAAAATTTAAAAAAAATATTAATATCAATCCTCCTATATGGCAGTGAATAATGGACAATTTCTTTTTTTACATTTTCTTTTTTAGAGATCTGAAGAAAGAGAAACAAAAAAAAGAGTTTTGAAAAAACTGTGCTATGTGTTCCATATCAATCCTGGCTATAGGAAAATGAATACTGGAAAATTATTTAGATGAAGAGGAGACCCAATTCAGAGAAAAAAAGAAAAAGAGTGCTGAACTGCTATGTATTATCAATCCTCCCATATGGCAAATTGAATGCTGGACATGGTCTTTCAAAGATAAACAGATCAAAATAGTCAAGAGAAACAAAGAAAAATTATATTGAATATATATATAATATCAATATATATATATATATGGCAGTGAATGATGGACAATTTGGCTCACAGATGAAAAGGAGACTTTTTTGCAAACAGAAACAAAGAAAAGAGTGATGAACTATATGTAATATTTTAAGCAAATCCTATATGGACCATGCAGTGAATGAATGATTTATAAAATATAAATTTTTTAATTACTTAACATCAGGAAAAAAAGAAATTTAAAATTTTGAGGCTGGCAATGAGTTTATAATATACATGAAAATCAAATTCTCATTTAGGCAAAAAATTTTGAAGGCAAAAAGGATTTTAAGAACGCGTTTGTTTTTAATAAATGTCTAGAATTTTTTTATAGTGGAATATCGAAAATATATTTTTAAATATATATATATATATATATATATATATAATATATATATGTTTTGTGTGTGCAGATGAAGTATTAAATGGAAAAAAAATCAAATTTTAAAAGAATTAATATTAAAAAAAAAAACCAAAGTTTTTATTAACCCATTATCAATTATTTTTAAAAAAAAGCATTATGAATGTAAACATTCATACAAATGACATTTTTTTATTTAAAAAAAAAAAAAAAAAAAAAAATAAATAAAAAAATCTTAACCAAACTAGAAATGTCATCTTCCGCTTTAAATTTAGACACCCCAACCTTTACCCTGACTTGACCTCTTTGAATGTAACTGAGATATTGATACAAATTATTAACCCTTACGCCCCTTTTTTTAAATAATTGCTTTAGCCGTTACCATAGTAATTTTAATTTTAATAATGAATATGCTTATAAAACGTGTAAATTTCAGGAATTAGTTATTCCAAAAAAAAAAACGCTTGAAGATGGAACAGAGCTTGATACTTTAATTCAATTTAATTCAAATAATTATATTGAAGTTTTTTATCTTGTTTTGAAACATGAGAACTCTTATGTAGCGTTGGAATCATATTTTTTAAATAAATAATTATATATATATATATATATATATAAATATGAATATGATCATTGTGTGTGTTTTGAGAAACAAAGATTAAAAGGTGCTGGCTGAAATGTATAAATTATGTTGTAAAAAACTATTTCATCAAAGATTAGCCTGAAGGCAAAAGTACTTGCAAAAAATCTTTCAGATAAAAAAGAAACAATTGGTTTAAAAAGATGAAATATAAACATGATTGAAAACATGGTAAGTGTTGACAGCAATGGCCGCTCACCAGATATTGAGTGTTGATTTTATTTTTTTTGAGATATACTTCAACAAAAAGTGTTCTTGAGTTTTCCAGGCTTTATTTAGGAGGAAAAGACCGTAATGAAGGAATGTAAACGCAGAAATTAAAACATTAGAGACAATTAAATTTTTTTATTGACAATATTTGTGACAGAACATTAATAAATCGGATGTGACACTGAAAATGACAGCAAAAAAAAACAAAAAGAGAAATTTGAAATTTAAAAAGACATCAATATTAACCGGTTGATATAAAATTTAGGTAATTATATTGTTTTAGTTAAATCGAAGATAATATGGGTTTAAAAGACCCGCGCAGAGCCAAAAATGAAATTTTTTGTCTCAATCCTAAAATTTTCATTTTTTATAAAATACTATTTAAAAAATAAATTGAATGAAAAAAAATAGTTCATTATCCGAACAAAAAAATATTCAATTAATAATAAAATATGTGTGTGTGTGTTGAGGGTATGTGTAAATGTAAATTGTCAAATCATTTAAATACAGTATTTAACACTGAATGTTTATAAATGTGAGATTTCTGAAATGAAATGGGAATGCTGGTCAAAACCCAGTGTGTTTGGTAAAATATGATATCCCATACAAATGACACAGAAGACCAAATACTTCCAAATTTTTATATACGTATTCATCTATTATTTCTATTTCCTGCAGTTGATGAAACAGGATGAGCTACCTAAAAAATGAGTCTCCATGACAATCTATCTATGATTATTTTGAAAAATATATCACTTGATTGATTCAAATAAAAAACAAATTTATAGCTGTTCTGCATATACTTTTCTGCTTTCTTGTCCTAATGAATTATCTTTATGAAAGTCTGTTGATTTATTCATGTTTAATGATTTATTTATCAAACGCTCAACTGAAATATAAGACATTAATTATTCAAAGATCCATTTATGACGTTTTTCTTTTTCATCTAACTATTTCTGTCATTCAAATTATAAATCAATTGTATCCTCAGTGTTGTTCATTCACTTCTGAAACTTGTAATGTTTTACCAATATTATTTATGTTGCC